GTTGCCGGACATGAAAAAAAAAAAAAAAAAAAAAAAAAAAAAAAAAGCTCCCCCTTACCTCGACCTACTTGAATGTGCACATGGTTGCAATGACACGTGTATTTTGCATTGCAAGGCTTCTGTTCATTCCCAAATGAACTCTACCTTTGGAGAATCTCTCTGTGTTTGTTATTTAGGTTGACACCCTTTGCTACTACTCTTCTACTTTTCTGGAACATGAAGCATAGGCTGGAGGTGGAACATCCATCTTGCACCCGTGAGGACTAAGCCTGGTCTCTAAAGGCTTCATGGAGCTGAATGCCAACCTGGCTATTTACTTATGGACTTCTTCTACCTGAGTCAGGGGAAACACTCCTAGGCATTTAATAAATTGGTTGGAGGTTTTTTTTGGTTAACTTTTGTTTGGTTGGTTGGAGGCAAGGGGAGGTTGTTACTCAACCCTAAACTTCTTAGATTCATCATGAAATTTATGTTTTGCTGAAAAATCACCCATTTCTTGTAGGTTTTGAAATTTTTTGCCACAAAGTTGCAGAATGAGATCACTTAAATTATTTTACTCTCTTCTATGTTGGTATCTCATTTACTCATTAAGTTTGTGTACTTAACTTTCCCCCTTGACCAAGCTCACTGGAGTTTATTTACTTATTTGTCTTTTCTTAAAAAGAATAACTGTTGCACTTATCCTTTCTACTGTTTTGTGTTAGTTCCTGTTTCATTCTTTTATCTTGCTTGTTCTTTTTTTCCGTTTGTAAGATAAATACTGTTTCTTCAAACTTTCATCATTAATAATGAAGTCATTTTAAGGCTATAAATTTTACTTTGAACACGGCTTTAGCTGCATCCTATGGGAGTTTGGTATAAAGGGAATCTACCTTTGCAGTGTTTTTTATATCATTTGTAACTTCAGACCCGAGTTTCTTTTTAATTCAGTTTTGTTTTGTCTTTTAAGAGGATTTACTCATTTTAAAGTATGGCAGGTCCCAGAAGCTCAGGCTGCAGGAGGAGTGGCAGTGGCCAGGCAGCCCAGCTTCATGAAGGTTCTTGGCACGCCATGTTCCACAGGCAACGGGCACACGTCTTCCCCGCCGTGAGGATGCCCAGGAAGGTCAGCTCAGCCAAGTGGGCAGTGAAGGAAGAGCCCAAGAGTAGCTCAGCAAGGTTGTCACCTAAACCTGCTCTTGCAAAAGTGAAAATGAAGCCAGAAAAGGCAGCAGCAAAGGATAAATCTTCTAACCCTAACCCTAACCCTGAGCTGCACAAAAAGGCCTCCCTAGGGAAACGATCTCCAAACCTATTCAACCCAAACAGGTCCTCTCCTAAATTGCAGCAAAACAGCAATTTAGCTCAGCCACAGAGCTCAAGTATTGGTCCCCACAGGAAGTTCCCCCACTTTAGAAATGCAAAGGACAAAAAGTTAGTTCTAGCCCAGGCACACTACCAGCACCTCTGGGTTGGCCAGGGGACCTGAGGCATGGAGCCAGGGATGGACCCCCACACACACAACCAGGCACACCGCCAGCACCAAGGAGCATGCCAAAACCATCACCTCCATGTGGGTGGCCCACCAGAGCCACCACAATAACCATGGCTACTGTGAAAGTGGCTACATGCCACAACCACCACGCAGATGGTCCGCCAGGCACTGGAGTGCACTGACACAAGGAGAGTCACCAGCAGAGACAAAGAGGATGTCTCTCTCCACAAAGCCCACTTCATGGGCCGGCCTGTGGCTCACTCAGGAGAGTGCGGTGCTGATAACACCAAGGCCACGGGTTCGGATCCCATATAGGGATGGCCGGTTTGCTCACTGGGTGAGCGTGGTGCTGACACCAAGTCAAGGGTTAAGATCCCCTTACCGGTCATCAAAAAAAAAAAAAAAAAAGCCCACTTCAGGGTAACAGAAGAAGCATCTGTTCTATGATGATATTGGGGACCTGATCACACCTCTCAGCATTGGACAGATCATCTAGGCAACAAATCAACAGAGTAACCATGATTCTTTCAGAAAGAGAGAAGAAATCTAGGGTAACTATAGGGGGTAGGGAGAGGGAGTCGGGGAAGGAGAGAGGTTGGACGAGGGGCATAAAGAATAATTATGATTTGTAACAATATATATACTAGTTATGCTGATTTGATCAACATATGTCAATGCTGAACCCCAAAAGAATATGTAATCAATTATGATTCAATAAAATAAAATAAAAAAGATAACAACATGCAATTCAAAAATAAATAAAAGGCATCATTCCAGCTGGGAAACAAAAAAAAAAAAAAAAAAAAAAAAAAGGCACCTTTCCAGCGGGGAAAAAAAAAAAAAAAAAAAAAAAAAAAAAACGGAATTGGATTGGATTGTGGTCAAACTATACGTCCTATTATCTCTTTATTCAACCTGTACGATTTTTTTTGTGGCTCGATACATGGTTATTTTCTGCAAATATCCCATGGGCGTAAATAGATGCAAAGTTCCCTGCACACAGTTAAATTGAGCTTGCTGCTGGTGTTACCCAATTCCTGTACTCCCACCCTTGACTTTGTCCGGAGCCCTGGAGTCCTAGGAGGGCCTGGCGGGCGGGAAGGCGGCAGCGGGGAGCGGGCGCGGCGAGGTTGGGCGGGGGCGGTCAGGCCGGTTGCCAGGAGGCGGGAAGGGGACACAATGGGGTCCGGGAGCGGGGCCGGGCGTTGGGGGCGGGGAGGGGAGAGGGCGGGATCCAGCCACCCCCTTGGCCTGCGCGCGCCAGGAGCCACCGCAGGTCAGTGCGTGTCCCGCTTCCCTCGGAGCAGCGGGTCCCC